GTGCCAAAATCTGCAGGAACCTGTGATAGTTGGAAAGAAAATGGCCCCCACAGGGAGAGGCACTATTAGGTATGGCTTTGTTGGAGTAGGTGTAGTCTTGGAGGAAGTATCACTGTGGGGGTAAACTTTGAGGCATCCCATGCTCAAGCTACGCCCAGTGTGGCACACACTTGCTTCTGCTTCTTGTGGATCAAGATGTAGAACTCTCAGCTCCTTCTCAAGCACCATGTCTGCCTGTGTACCGTCATGAAGATAATTGACTAAATAAATCTCTGAAACTGTAAGCCAGCCCTAATTTAATGTTTTCCTTTATAAGAGTTGCTGTGGTCATGGTGTCTCTTTACAGAAATAAAAACTTTAAGACAGCACCTAAGGCCCTCTATAAAGTGAAAGTATTATGTTATACTTTATTTCTGTAGCATGCACGTGTGCACATGCATGTTTACACACATGTGCACACACATGTGAATATGTGCGCATGTATGTGCATGCCACATCACATGCGTGGATGAAAGAGGACACCTTGGGGGACTCAGTTCACACTCCATGCCATGTGGCTCCCACGATCAACCTGAGGGCATCAGCCTGAGCCGCGGATATCCCCATCTGCTAAGCCATCTCACTGGCCTCTACAAGCATTTTAGTAGTAATAATATTTGCATATCATCCTACCCTCCACAGAATGTAAATCATGTTAGGTTCCTTATAATATTGAACTGATGCAAATACTATCCAAAGAATTGCTATATTGCACTGTTCGGGGAGGGGGCAGTCACAGCTAGAAAATGTCAGTTATGTTTAGTATGGACATATATTTTTTTTTTCTGTAGTTGGTTACATCTATGGATGAAGACTTTCCCACTGTTTAACACAGAACTTCCTAGGTGGCTCTTCTTACTCAGGATTCACTGCTGCAAGGTGTATTCAACCACAGATCCAAAGAGCCCTTCAGATTCAACCCCCACATCCTCCAATTGCCAAGAGAAGTCTGAATAAGCAGCATATTTAACTCTATGCCAGCAGCAACTTTTCTTGGCTACACAGATGCATCAAAATCACAAATCTAGTACTTTGCTAGCATTGAGTCGCTTTAAAAACGTTTATTTATTTTTATGTGTGAGTGGTTTGCCTGCATGTGTGTATGTGTACCACATGCATGCAATGCCTGGGGAGGCCAGTAGAGGTCACATGAATGCCCAGATCTGGAGTTATGCACACTTGTAAGCTGCTATGTGGGTACTAAGAATTGATCTGTAAGAGCATCCTATACTCTTAACCACTGAATCATCTCTCAAGCCCCGAATGTTACCTTTGAAGGACAGGGTGAAGGCACTCAAATCTATATGCCTGGGCCAGGACAATTTCACCCAAATAATCTTAGAAACTTTACTATGACATTAAGCAATAGAGTACAATCAAAAGTTTTGGTAAAACCTCTGACTGGATGAAGTGGCACAATGCAGGTTCGTTTTACAGATTCATGTAAAAACCCCTTACAGGGACAGAGAGATAGCTCTGAAATTAAGAATGAGTGCATGGTCAAGCAGGCTGGGGTTGGGATGCCAGCACCCAGGTTGTAAGCAGATGTCCCACAGAGGCCTGCAACTCTAGCTCTGAGGGATCTGTCACCCTCTTCTGGCCTGTGCACCTGCACACACACACACACACACACACACACACACACACTCACACACACACACACATCATCTATATGTAAGTAAAACAATCAATCGAATAAGGACAAGACTTTCTAGTCCTCTAAAATCTGCCTCTTAGGAGTATGCATTCGTTTCACCAAGATACCAGCTTCTCTCTCCTTTGGTCAAAGAAATTACATGAGCAGCATTTCCTCATGGTTACATTTCCAGAGACTCTGAAACCGTGAGATTCTGAAGCCCTGGGTCCCCAGTTTCCTGCACCCTTTCCACTTGGAATCAACCTCTACAAAAAGATTTATTTTTGTTAGTATGGGTGAGTATATGCCATATGTACACAGGTTCCCATGGAGGCCAGAAGAGGGCGCTGGATCTTCTGAAGCAGGAGTAACAGACGGCTGTGAACTGCCCAGCATGGGTGCTGGGATCCAAACTCAGGTCTTCTGCAAGAGCAGTAGGTGCTATTAATTGCTGAGCCATCCCTTCAGTCCCTGGATCAGACCTTTTAATACACAGGCAGCTGATGGACTGAGATAGCATTCTGAGTGACATGCTGTGAGGGTTACTGAGTGGAAAGTGTTTCTTAGCTACCTGCCAAAGTACTTATATGAGCTTTGATCACAACGAGCCTTCGGGTCAGACTTTTAATTTGATAAAACTGGGTATAAATAAAATATTAAGAGAGCTGGCAAAGAGAAGCAGCAGGCATAGCGATCTGTTCTGAGTAGGAACGAATGCCTGGTAACACAGGGCCTGGGAGGGTTCTGTTAATTTTCTTCATGAAAGATTTCAGCAGAAGGTTGGACCAGTGCCTTCACTGTCATCACCATCATGAGAGCCGGAGGTTTCTCAGCCCCTGTCCCATGTTTTGGAATTGCTGTAAAGCACTTGACCATGAACCCTGGTCTCACCGTTGGGATCTCCAGGCCCTGGGGACAGGCAGGAGTCGGCTTGCTGGTCTTTCTAAACTCTACCAAGGTGCTTGTCTGCGGTGCGGTTCTGGTAGCTGCTTCTACCAGATGCCTCTCTCTAGTCAGATGGCCCCAGAAGCTCCAGGCTTGCTTATTTGGGGGTTCTGGCACCTGTCTGTCTTTTAACTCAGGCTTTGACTTATTCAGCCCTTGTATTCAATGTTACTAACATTCTAGGTTTCAGGAGTAAGATCAAACACAGCGCTGAACTGTGAACTTCACATCTGGGCCACGTCATTCACTGGAAGGTACAGGCTCACTTCAGAATACTTGCTTGGACGTCTGATCTTTTCTAAGGCCAGTTTGATTTATATCATTTATATTTCAATACTTTAGAAGCTTAAGTTAGCTGCTAGCGACTGGCAGCTCTGGGAAACAGTTCCTTGAGAAGATTCCAGACACAGGGTACCAGTTGGGTGTGGTTTTTTTTTTTGCCTATCCATAGGTTAAGGATACAGGTGTGCCCTTGACCCTGGAAGCATCACTTCTGCTTAGCTGCTGTCTCATTTCTTACATAGATATTTGTAATTTCTCTGTCTGGCCTTGCTCAAAGGAATTACACACACACACACACACACACAGACATGCAGGCATGCACACTCACCCTGAAAGTGTGCAGGCAAAAGTAAGTGACTGGATTAAGGCACTCTGAGACACACCCCTCCCCCAGCCTCCTCATTGCTTCAGTTTTCAGTCCTTGCACCCGCCTGCCTGAGGCCTGCTGGTAGGCAGATCTTGTGCTGTCAAGTGTAACTGCGCCTTGCTCCTGGAACTGAATTCTGTGGCTTGTCTTCAAGAGCAGGTATGCTCTGGGTTCTGGGATCAACACATTACAGCATGGCTGCTTTTAGGGACCCTGGAATTAGGGAACCACTGTGTTCAGGAAATTCTCCTGGGAGCATATCTCTAGTGGCAGCGAACTTGCTGACTGAGAATAAGGAGACTATTCCATGACAAAGGAGTACAATTTCTATGGCTGTCATAACCTGGTGGGAACAGTGGAAGTCCTGTAGTTTGAGTCTCTCATTGATGAGGATAGGTGATGGGAGTGGGGTTGGCAAGGCCTTTCGCGGGCCGCATTTGATACCCCATTGTTGCTCTAATTGGTTTCCACAAGAACGAACAGGATAGTTGCTTGTTTTCTATGCATAGAGAATAGAGCTTCAGAATGGGCTCTAAATCACCTCTGTATTTGCAGATGAAATGGTAAAAGCTTGGGGTTGTTCCACCCTCCCCTCCAGGCCACTCCGTGACAATTGTTAATTTTTGGGAGTGGGAGGAGACCTCCATAGGAACTCAGTACAGTGTCTCCCTGGCAGTAAATGATTTGGGGCTTTGCATTTTGAATTTAGAAGATGATATCTGAATGGATGCTCTATTTTTGCTTAAATGTCTTTAGAAGGCTTTTCTTTTAGAGATTTTTTGAGAAAGTGTATTAAGGATTGCTGGCTTTGTAGTACACATATCCCTTGGGGAGAGAGGGGCTATACATGAATTGAAAAAGCAATGCGCTCCAGCCCATACATGCCAGAGAGACAAACTACTGGCCCTCCTTTCGACCCATTCTTCCCTTTATAGGACTAGAACTTTGATGGCCCGCCTGGATGGGCTGGGGATGTAGCTTAGTTGGTAGAGCGTATTCAAACCCCAAGACAGCGTTAACTAAGTGTGACATATGCAACCTTGGCTATAGAGTAGGTTGAAGGCCAGGATGAGGTACACAGGACCATGCCTCCAAAAAAGAAAATGTCTCACAGAAAATACCCTGTGTCTATTTCCAAGGCCCATAAACACTCTCTAGGATAGAAATGATATGAATACCAACTTCCGATGGTTCAGCTTATGAATTTTCATTCTTATGTTGGTTTCGAAGTGATATATATTCAGCAAACTCTACATTACGAATTTTGCTCTTTTCCTAGGCTGTGGATACAGAAAAAAAGCCTCTGCTTTTCCTTTGAGTATGGTAGTCAACAAAGTATATCGTCAAGATTTTGTTATAAAATAGTCTTTGCGTTAGATGATTTTGTCCGCCTGCAGGTCAATGTCAGCGTTCCAAGAAAAGTTAAGGCGGGGTAGGTTGAGCAGGGGTGTTCTGTAGGTTATGTGTAGCACATACATTTCAACTGACAACATGTTCAATTTACAATAGGCTCACAGGACATGTGACCCCCGGGAAAGTCCAAGTTCAGGGACCCTCCCATTTCATAGATGAATAAATGTTAGAAAGCTGGCTCCAAATCTGCTCGGTCTGCAGTACAATTCTGCAAGTAAAGGGGTCAGTTTCCTTCTGCGACAAAGCACAACCCACCTTCCACCTCTGCACAAACCTGTAAGAGCAAACCCTGCCCTCCCTTTCCCCTTCCCCTTCTACCTGCAAAAGTCTCCTTCAGATTCCGGCAGCATCAACGAGGCGATGGGGTTCTTCACCAGGTCAGCCACCACTGGGTCCTTGGCTGTCATGTAGAAGAAGGGAGTCCCCGTGCTGTTGTGGACAGGGCCATCGCTAATGGCCAGGCAGCTCCCAAAGGGCAGTCCTTGGATCTAACAAATGCAACAATAACGACAAAAAGACTTATTAGCAGTAGAGCTATGGGGAACACAAACTGGGGAAAAACTTTGTGTTGCCGGGCAGGAAATACAGCCCTGGGGCCTTGTTTGGACCAGTGGATTTGACAGATAGACTAAGACTAGGTGGGTCCAATCGATGCAATTCACCCAGTGATGGTTTCAGAATTTCTCTGCAGGGAGAGGCAGGTAAGAACATTCTGTCGGGGAGCTGAAGGATTCTGGAAGCTGCCTTCTCACAGCAAATGTATTCATTTTATTGAAGGGTAAGGACAATGAGGCCTATGGAGAAGAAGACAGCGCTAGGCCTTCTCCCACAGGCTCTTCTTCAACACCTTCTGCCTGCATCATCTCCTCCATTCTTTTTAAACGTTGGGGATAGAATTTAATTTGTTTTATAAACTGCTTGGTATTTGGATGCCAAGCATATTCATACTGCTTCAGTTAGAGCAACATTTCTTTGTTTATTAGTTGTATGTTATGTTGAGGTCAAGAACCTTTTGGTATATGACTGAACAAGTTATGGGAAGTTAATATGCTGAATACTCTTTTAGCCTAAATGGAAGTCACAGAAGTATGACATACTGATCACTGCCTGTGTTCACCTAGTAGATGGGGGAGGGTCTCCTGTCATGTCCCATGTGACTTTAAACAGAAATGACAGCATTTAAGTCTTAGTGTTCCCCAAACTCTCCTGCACCTACTTTGTCCCTTACAAAGAGCCCCCTCCTAGTGAGGCTGCCAATGTTTTCCAAGCATTAGACAGAGTGTGCACGATTGTGAAAGGAAGGGCTTAAATCATTTAGAAACATGAAAAATTAACAAGTTCTCCAAATGGCACTATTACATCATCCATACATTCTATTTTCAGCCTATCATGAACCGCTTAGCAGTTTATGCAAATGTTTTCTGAATTTACCAAGTTTTGGATTGAAAATCAATATTGCAAGGGGAAGGCCTATCGACGCTAACAAAAGAGCTGTTGGAGATCAAAGTATCTTCACTACAAGGACACTAGATGCTTTTTCTTCTTTGGCTGTTTGTGTTTTTGTGAGGCAGGATCTGGATATGTAGCCAGAGCTGGCTTTGAACTCACAATTCTCTTGCCTTAGGCTTGCTGATGCTGGAACTACAGGGGTGGGCCACCAAGCCGGACGGGCACCAGATTTCTTTTGTGTGTGTGTGTGTGTGTGTGTGTGTGTGTGTATTCATGCATTCTAGTGTGCCCATGCATGTGGTGCTTGTGCATAGTATGTATAGGAGGTCAGGGGACAACTTTCTGATTTTCTGGTGTCATTCCTTAGGATCCCTTACTGTTATGATTTTTTTTAGATAGGGTCTCTCGGTGGCCTGGAACTCTCCAAATAGGATAGACTAGCTTGCCAGCGAGTCCTAAAAGATCCACCTGTCTCAACCTGCTTAGCACTGCGATTCCAAATCATGACACCATGCTTGGCCCAAAACAAAAACAAAAAGCAAAACAAAACAAAGCAAAACAAAAAAAGCCCCAAACAAACAACAACAATAACAACAACAAAAAAACATGGTTTCTGAAGGTTGGAAAACTAAGATCCTCAAGTGTTCTACTGCTGAGACACTTCCCAAACTTTAGGCACTAAATTTTTTGTTTTTGTTTCTGTTTTACAATGATTAGCTTCATATTTAAGCCCCATATTTTATTAAGGTATGTGTTAGAAGTGTAAAAACTGATCGCACACTGGGAATACAGAACTGGCTGGGATTCTGACATAGAAAGAGGACAAGATCATTGTCATTATTAGGATAAAGTTGGCATTAGTTATTTTTTAAGAAAATGAAAAGAACTTTCAAGCTCTGCCTACAGAATTGCTTAATTTGTTTTTTCGAGACAAGGTTTCTCTGGAATTACTTAATTTTGTAGATGGGAAAACAGGGTGCCTTGGCCAAGCCAGGGCTAGTGAGACCCAGAGTTGAGGCAAAAACTCGACCTCCACACTGTGTGACATGTATCCTTCCCTGCACAGATTAATCAGGAACTCGGATCGCATCTCTGTCTCTTAGGACTAAAAGCTTTCTGGAGGCTATTCTTAAGGAATATGCGGCTTCAGGACATCTCCAAGCTGCTCTGGGAGGAAGCAGGCTAATGGGTGAATAAACCTTTGTGAACTGAAAGAGAGAAATTGCGGTTCAAACAGCTCCCTCCAGCAGCTACGCTCTATCTAAGCCGTTTTTTCTTAAAAATTCGAGTTCCATTTTTTTTTTTAAAGTGTAAATTTCTATCAGTGCGTGGATGGTGCCTTTCCTTCACGCCTGCCTGGTGTGGGAGGTGGTGCGGGAGTCTGCCTGCGGGACAGTGCTCAGAGCCCGCAGGGGCTGAATGCTCCTCATCTGTGATTCCAAAGGCGATCCTGTCTGCTTTCCAGGTCTCCGTGTGATGCTGATTATTTGACCACCTCTTTGGCCATTTTAAGACAGTGTTAAGTCACTAACCACCAGACTGTTTCCCAGGGTCGCTTTCCTCACCACTCACGTGCACTTGGCCAGATGAACCGACTCCTGCACTAGTCGGGTTCCGTTATTCACAAGGCTATGCACCTGTGACACCCGAGTCTCCTGTGCCCGGGTGCTCGCCCCAGAATTGCCAGACCACGACGAGACATGCACCACCCCCGCGTCTCGACCTCTGGCTTACCTTTTCTTGGGTGGACGTGGTGGCCAGACAGCCCCAGGAACTGGCGTGGACCAGGGAGCGGGCGGTGCCGGCACTCACCCTCGGGCCAGGGGATGCTGCAGATGAACCGCTCTCCCGCCGGTAGGAGAACATTCCACGCGGGGTCGGTGCGGGCCTGGAGCGGGCGGAGCCCCGAGGCCGCAGGTGCGTGTCCTCCTTGTGTGCCGAGGCCGGGAAGCTCTGCTGCCAGATGCTGCCCGAGTCCTCCAGCAGCGCCGGCAGTGCCTCCTCGGTGGACGCGCTGTCCAGCTCCTCTTCTACCTCGTTGGTGACAGCCCAGGACACGGAGCTCACGATCACGTAGCCGGCGGCCGGGGACAGCAGGGCGCTGCAGCATAGCAGCCAGGACAGGCGGGTCCCTGGACCCGCAGGGCGCTCCCCTCTGGACAGCGACATCTTCTCGCAGGCTATGGGCCCTGTGGCGGGACTGATAGCCTAGCAGCGGCCGGCCAGGGGCGCCCCCCTGCGGCGGAGCGTGCGCCGGAGCCCGCGCCGGAGCCCCTTCTTCTTGCTGTAGGATTGTCAGGTCTGCCTTTATTGCCCTACACCCTGGGGAGAAGAGATGTCTGCTGCAAGACCAGACTCCCGTCAGCTGCGCACATCGCCGCTACCGGACTCAGAGTCCAGGCGTGCCAGGGCCGGTGGCTTGGTTTTCCGCAGACTGGCACGGGTTCCGCAGCCAAAGGGTGGGCGTTCACAACTCCAGCTCAATACACTCCTCCGCTTGACAGCTGTGAGGCGTCCTCCAAGCTGTTTAACTTCTCTGTGCCACCCCAGGACCGTGCCAGCAAGGAGGACATCACCAGGTTCAGTCGCTGCACCTTGAGCCCCCAGAACCATAAGGCACAATACACCTACATCGTCCTTAACTCTCCCAGTCCGTGGTGCCATGCCATTAGCAACACAGACTAGCAGCACATTTTAAAACATCTTATTCCAGTAAGAAAGAACAACTTAAAATTAACCATTTCTTACCTCTTCTTATGACATCTAGACTCGGTCCCACTAGGGGACCTGCTCTATAGCTTGTATTCCTAAAATGCAAGAGTCCTTCTCTAACTAGTCCCAAAAGAAAATAACTTGAAATAGCATTTGCCGTTTTTACTACATCATGTCCCCAGTTGCACCTAGCTGCCATACCTCCTCTGCCCCATCCTGCTGCTCCTCCTGGATGCCTGGATACTGGGGCACCCTGCCAGTGTGGGCACAGCTGGCCTCTCCCTTCTACATGGAACCAGTCTTGGTTTCTCTCCCTGACTGCTGTTCTTTTCTCTTTCTGCATCCTTCTCTCTGCTTCTGAACACTTATGTTGTCTTCGGCATCTCCCTGAGACATCTGGTTCCTTCTCACTGCTCCTCCCGTTGCCTGCTGCTCTCTCCCCAACCTCCCACTTGCACTCCTTCTCATGCCCCATTCCTGGGAAGATGTGTCCCACAGTTTTGAGAGGCAGGAAGGTAAATCATTGAAATACCAACCTCTGCAGTCAGCTGTGGTGGCACGTGCCTGTAATCCCAGCCCTTGGGAGGTGTAGTTGGGAGAATCAGGAGTTCAAGGTCATACTTAACTAGAAGGCAAGTTTGAGACCAGCCTCCATTGCTTGAGACCCTCTCAAGATCAAACAGATAAAAAAAAAAAAAACAAAAAAACAAAAACTAACAGCCCCTTCTACTCAGATGCGCCTTCCAGAGTAAGAACAATCCAGATTTTGCTCCTCAGGTCCTGATGGTGGGAGAGTGGCATGTCACCTGACACTTTCTGTCTTTGTGTCTTATCTGCAAAATGGGGACAGTTACATCTCCCTCGCCGGGTTTTGGATGTCAAGCAGACTGTCTCTGAGTGTTCAGGGAGGGTTTACGGGGAGTGCCGAGTCTTGCTCTGTTTGCTCAGAGGGAAAAGGATGTCTGTTCCAATCTCAGAAAAGGATACAGAACTAATATATCAGTCCCGTGAGACGACTGCACATGGTGGTCTCAGCCCCTAGTCAGCTTTCCACTGCAGGATCAGCCTACCTTCTCTTTCCGCATGACTAAGCTGGCCAGCTGCGGGAGAGGCATGCATCTTCTTTGCCTAACCAGCGAGTGCCTAACTTATGAGTAAATTCAAGTGTAGAACCTTGTAGGAGTCCCGCTTGTCCCGTTGTCTTTATCTCTGTTATCTTTCCCATAATCCCCATCGTGCTTTTGGATTCCTGTATTTTATTGCCCAAAGTAGACCCAAACTCAAAGCAGATGTTAAGGCAATCAAGCAGCCGGGACACGGCAAGTGTTGTGTATATGACAGCAGTTTTGTCTTTGGCCTTCAGGGATCTACCAGGCTTGTCACTCAAATTGCATTCCTGTGGGGTCCGGACCGGTTTGATTAGTCATGGAAAGCTAGAGACGGTGTATTCATCTAGATTCACACACTTTTCCTGTAGACCAATTAGAGTCCCATCCCAGTTGGCAAAGATATGGGTATGGATGTGCTTAAATGTTTTAGGTCTGTGTGAATAACTTTGTTATATGACGTTAAACGGGCATAGACAGCCATTATCCTATCAGAGAAGGGGATTACCTGTTTTCTCCATCCTTAACCATTCAGATTATTGTCAGATTTAAAAAATTATTTGTTCCACCCAAATCTAGTAGATGAGCAATGGTGGTTGAAATTACCGGGCGCGGGCAAGAATGGCCCACGAAACAAAGAATGAAACTCACTTTAAGAGATTTTTAAGAGAGAGAAAAGCACATACACAGGCCTGAGGGAGTTGGTGCTGGGGGGGAGGGGGGGGGGAAGAGAGGGAGGCAATAGTTACCTCTTCAGAAGAGGGACAAAAAGAGAGTGGAGCGACATGTACAGCTTTTTTTTTTTTTTTGGACAGCTTTTAAAGGCTGCCTAGAGCATGCGCACAGGGGCTTATGTAGCTGTAGATCACACGACCATGCTGCATGTATGTTATGTAGGGCTTGAAAGGGCCCCGGGTGGCTATGTAAATTGCCTGAGCGCTTGATGGCGCATGCGCGGCCGTAGAACTCGAAAGTGCTAGCATTTGGGGTGGCTAGACATTTTGTCAAAGCGCTGGGTGATGGAAACCTAACAGTGGTTACTTGTTAATCTGTTTGCTTTAGCTTGATGACCAGTTACATTAGCTGTTTTCCTTCACTATGACTAAGTTACCCGACATACCCCAAGTGAAGGAGGAGAGGTCGTGTGCACTCTGGCTGTCTATGTAGGTTCTTTGCTCATTTAAAAACCAGGTTTTCTTTCCGTTGTTGAATTGAAGGGGTCCCTTATGTATTGTAGATGTTAAGACTGTGCCCTGGTTTGTTTTCTGTTGATGTGATTAAGCACTTTGACCAAAAACAACTTGAGGGGTGTGTTGGTTTGGGTTCTGTTGCTGTGATTAAACATTGACTGAAAGCAGCTTAGGGAAGAAAGGGTTGATTTCACCTTAAAACTCTCAGGTCACGATCTATCACCAAGGGAAGCTAAGGCAGGAGCGGAGAGGCAGAAACTAAAGCAGAGCTCACGAAGAAAGCAGTTTACTGAACTGCTGCCAGGCTCATGTTCGGATACCTCTCTTACACAATTCAGAACCACCTGGCTGGGGGATGGCACCGCCCACTGTGGACAGACCTTAGCCTATCAATTAGCAATCAAGAAAATGCCCCATAGATGTGCCCACAAGCCAATTTGATGGTGGCAAGCCTTCAGTTGAGGTTCCTTTTCCCCAGGTGTCTCCAGTTGGTGGCAAATTAGCAATATTATCTAGCACAGGGGAGGAAAGGGTTTATTTTAGCGTGTAGGTTATGGACTGATATTGACGGAACTCAAGGCAGGAACTGAAGCAGAAACCACGGAGGGTCGCTGCTTGCTGACTCCCCAACTCACACCCAGTTAGCTGGTTTGTATAACCCAGGAGCACCTAGCTAAGGCAGCAGCCACTATGGACTGGGCCCTCCCACATCAATCATAAATCCAGATGGTCTCTCACAGACATGGCCACAGGCCAATTTGTCTGAAGCAATTCTTTCTTTGAGATTCCTTCTTCCCAGGCGGCTTTAACTTGTGTCAAATTGACAGTCAGAATGAGCCGGTACGCACCTTGTCAGATATGTCTGTCATTCATAGCTATCTTCTCGTTTTGTAGTTTGCTTTTTATTCTGCCGATGCATCTGCCATTCACTGCGTTTGGGGCTTTTTAATTTGATGCAGCCCCACTTGCCTGGTTGGCTCTTATTGCCTGCAGGTTCGGTGCCATTTCCAAAACATCCTTGTTGCCAACCTGAGACGCCTTCCCCCTGTCTTCTCCTCTGCGAGTTTCACCTGGATTTCATGTCTAATTCTTTGGTCCATTTTGAGTTCATTTTGTTTGTGGTTAAGATCAAGGTATGCAGACATACAGTTTTTAAAAGAACACATTTGTAGACAAGACTATCTTTTCCCCATTGCGAAGTTTTGGTGAATTTGCTGAAGATTGGTTGACGTATGTGAGCACCTCTGTCAAAACCAAACTTTTTGTTTGGGTTTTGGTTTTTTTTGAGACAGGTTTCTCTGTGTAGCCTTGGCTGTCCTGGATCTTATTCTGTAGACCAGGCTGGCCCAGGCTGGCCTCAAACTCACAGAGATCTGTCTGCCTCTGCCTTCCTAGTACTGGAGTTAAAGGCATGCACCACCACTGCCTGGCATACAAACTAATTTTTTTCCCTTCTCTTTGTGTTTATTTCTATTCCAATCTTTTAATTTCCTTCTTTTTGCTAATTGTGGACTTAATTTATTGGTAATTTGCTACAGTGTAAACTTGGGTTATTTGCTTCCTCCTTTATTTTTGAAGGGCAGTTTTCCAGAAGTGGTATCCTTCTGCAGTTTTATTCCTTATTATCCTGAATATAACCCCTCTTCCTCCTGGCCTGGGATGCTGCCTGAGAATCTTCCAATAGCTCTATGTGGATAGTTCTCCCCCGTACGTGATGAATCATTTTGTATTTAACTCAATTGATTTTGCTGCTGCCAAAATTCTTTGTCTTTTGACAGTTCAACTATAATGTGTCCTGGAGTGAGCTTCTTTAGGTTCATGTGGTCAGAGTCCAATGGGCATCTTAAAGTGGGATGTTCACTTCCTTCCCCAGATTTGGGGAGTCTACAGCTATCATTTAAGTAAGCTTCGCACACATCGCCTTTTATTTTTTTCTTTCTGGGGTCCCTACAGTGCACTAACTGTTGCCTCTTATGGTGTCAAAAGAGTCACCATCTCTTTTTTTCTTGTCATTTATTTGTCTTTTGTTCATCTTGGTTTTTCTTCAAGTATGCCTATTATTTCACCTTCTTGATAAAGTCTGATGTTGAACTTCTCTGGTAAATTTTTTTTTCGATTCAGTTACTATACTTTCAGCTCTAAATATTCTGATTTTTTTCTACCTTTTTGTTGATACAGGCGTATTTGATGATATTGTTTCTTTTGCAATTTTTGATTACATAGAAACTGCATTTCATCGGTATACTAAATAGTTGCATATTACATATCTGAAAACAGACATATGGATATTACATATCTGATAACAGACTTACACCCATAATATGCAAAGATCATTTGTAATTCAATAACAGACTTCTTCCCAAGGAAATAAGCAAATGGCCACCAAGTACATGAGAAGGTACTCAGCATTAGTCCTTAGAGAAATGCATTTTGAATGGTGATGTGGTTCGACTTTCCTTCCCTAGGAAGGCTGCAATCAAGCAGGCAGGGCATGCATATGAGGAGCATGCAGATAAATTGAATTCTTCTTCTATTGCAGATGGTTGTATAAAAAAGTGCGGCCACTAGGAAATCAGATCGGTAGTTCCCCTAAAGGTTAGACACAGATGTTACCGTTTGAGCCACGTCACTGCTGAGCATATATTGAAGACAAAGCTGCCACACGATTCTTTACAGGAGCATCACACATCACAGCCCGGACTGG